TTCCTTTATTTACAAGTGGACCTTCTGACTGAGGTCCGTGGTCAGTCAAACTCATACAGGCTGTAATGTGCAGCAGGGACATGGGTCGTGAATACACTCTCGCACCGGGGTATCACTGGAAAGTGTACAAAAGAAAAGGACAAAGAGCATGGAGCCTGAAAAATCCCCCCAATGATTCCAGAAACACATATCTGAACATGTCACGATAGAGAGGAACATTTCAGTTGCAACAAGAGTTCAGAGTTTTAACAAGCATGCCTGTGTGACAGCAACAGGGCCGTGGCGCGAGAGCAGACAAATATGCTGCACTTCTTCAGGGCCCAACAGATGTAACGGCGAGCTATGACAGCACATGGTGTCAACAACCTTGTAAAAAAGAATAACTTAACATGGCGTTGCGTCTCTGGAAGGGGATGCTCAAATGTGAACTGGAGTAAACCCACCAGTCAGTTAGTTACCTAGCAACATGGCAGCACGGTAATGACACATTGATGGCTCATCACATACCTGGACCTGATGCTCCTCTGATGCTCCTCTGATGCTCCTCCGCACTCCAGCACTCCAGCACTCAAGACAATCAAAGTTCACCTGTGCCTTTCTTCTTCTGCGTCATACTGCTTTCACTGTGTTACACGGCTCGCTTTCAGCAAGAAACAGCCGCCGGTGAGGTGAACGCATCGAAACTCAGCAACCGGTTTCCTTTACGTCGCCGTTTGTCTGGCCCTTCGGCGGAGGAAAGGGGTGCGGGTACGACCTGTAGGGACGAAACATCATCAAGCTCCAATTTGGGGTCACGTGACATCAACCGCCGTTTCGACCCGTGTTTACAAAATCTGTCCACATCATTGCGCTCGGAGAAACCACACGCTGGATTTCCCCAAAGGACAGAAAATAGGCCAAAGTAGCTATGGTAACGTCAAAAAATGTCCGTGAAATATCCAAGCTACCCTCGCACGAGTTCGGCGGTTGAGCTCGTCTTGGCTGGCAGTTAGTTCAGTCCAGCAGCAGTCGCCAGCGTGCACAGAACCGGGAAAAACGAACAGCAAACGGGTGAAGACCAACCGCCATCGTTAAATTGTCACTCCCCAAGTCTGAGCCGCTGCAAGACTACACAGACAGTCCCCCTTTCAGGCACGGAACTAAATACTGTCAAGTTAACCCGATTAAACGACGTTTCCGGTACAATTTATAAAAATAAAAGTCGACAATTTCACGCAATGCATCCATCTATCTATCTATGTGTATATATA